TGAAAATGTTCCTCTACTTTTCAGCGCGGTTCCCCAAGCATGGGGGTGGATTGAGCCAACAGAAGATCCTAGTGACTCACAAGCCTCCAGAGAAGAAATCCACATATGGCTAACCACTAAGGTCACATTTTCCTCCAATTGCTTGAGCATTACATTCTTCAGATAAGTGTAGGGACCCAGTGTTGCTAAGCACCAGGCAAAGAATGGGTTGCAAAGTTCTGGTTTCTCTGTGACACATGCCCAGCGGCACCAGACAGGCACCCAGAATCCTGTGGTTATGTGACAGGTGGTGGTGAGGAGGGGCATGAGAGAGTGGTTGGTGTTTTGCATCTGTGGGAACCACTGTTTACTGGTCAGGTGATGTATGAAACTGCACATCCTATTATTATTTATATATTATCCATAACTGCACATCCTATTATTATCCCTAGTGGATAATAATCACTCACTGTGAAGCTTCAAGAGGTGAGGCCCACCTGAGACTGTAGCTGGCATCCAGGAAGAGAAAGGAGCAGCTCTGGGTGGGCGCAGTGGCTGGCTGCCCTCCCAGTTGCGCTGTAGGACCAGGTGTAACTCTGGGGTGTGGAATTAGGAGCTGCTGAGGTTAATCTCCAGCAAGTCGGATTAATGTCTCATCTGTTTTCCACAATTTTTCCTTTACCCAGCACTGTAGCTGCATCTTTTAACAACTACCATTTGATCCATTTGCCCCTTTCCTATCCAGAAAATAGGTAGGATTGTGTGGTCAGCTGCAAATTTAGGGTTCTGAAATGCACTTAAACAACTGCATCAGTGATGAATTTAGCAGCTTAGAACTAGAAACGTTGCTCTCAGTTTCTTTGGGTTGAGAAGCCAGGGGCAGATGAGCTGGGTCCTCCAGCTCAGGGTTGCATAAGGCTGCAGGACTGAGTCAGCCTGGGCTGGAGTCATCTTGAGGCTCGACTGGGGAGCAGTCTGCTTCTGAGCTCACTCAGGTGTCCAAGGAAGGATTCATCTCTTCATGGGCTGTTGGACTGAGGACCTCAGCTCCTCACAAACCACTGGCCAGAGGCCTCCCTCAGCTCCCTGCCTTGCGGACCTCTCCTGGGACAGCTGACAACGTGGCAGCTCGCTTCTCTCTGAGCGAGTAAAAGAGCAAGACAGCAAAACGAAATAAGCCAGAGTCTTTCTGTAATCTAGTGGTATCAGACGGGACATCCTGCCACTTTTACCATCTTATGCTCATTAGAAGTGAGTTGCTAGGTCCAGTCTGCACTCAAAGGGAGGGGATTACAGAAGAACATGCCTATCAGGAGGAGGGGACCCCCGGGGGCCATCATGGAGGCTGAGCACCATAATAACTCCGCTTTCTGACCACATTGGGTTATATTGCCCTTTCATATAGAAGGGCCTTAAAAATCACTGAATTCACCACATTCTGTCAGACAATCAACCGTGTTGCCCAGCCATAGATAGTAAGATGATGACCCTGATATAAGCCGCTCCAGCCAACAACCTTGTTATACTACAACAGGACATCAGTGTCCCACCCTTTCTTACCTATAATTCATCCAGCTTTCATCTAAGGTTTACTACGGAGTCAAAGAAATGCTCTGTTACCACCAGAATCATAGAATGACAGAGTTAAAGAATTTTTGCTCACCTAGCCCAAGTTCATTCACAGTGTGGAAACAGACTGAGAGAGAGAACTTGCTTAAGAACACTGCTCCGCACTGGGGTGGCTGGGTGACCTTCACGTTAGGTTTAGTGACCTTCCCATTAACTTTGGCGACCTCCACACTGGTTGCCAGTTACACTGCTTCCTCTGGGAGACCTCAAGCATGGATGGGGATTAAGAAAACTAGGATGGAAAATAGGTGAGGGGAGAAATAAGTGTGGAAGAGTAAAAGAGGAGAGGGAGAACTCCAAAAGAGAGAAACAAGACTGCAAAAGAAAGAGGAGGCAAGGAGAAAAGCTAAACTCAAATTCATGGCAGGCGCCACTGGGAGGCTCCGTGACTGATGTAGCTGCTTCACTGCATGACATTGTGATGTATGGATCGAAACCACCTATTAGCTTACTGCCAGTGGTTAAGACTGTGGACTGTGGAGCCTGAACCCCAGCACTGCCTCTAGCTGTGTGACCTCTGCAAGTCACTGCACTTTCCTCATTTTCTAAAATGGGGGTGAAGTTGTACGTACCTCATGGGATGGCTGTGGGATGAAATGAGTTAATAAATGTAAAATAGTGCCAGGCACATGGAAAGTGTTATTTTGTTCAGGTGGTGGGGAAACGCTTATGTTATTCTCTACCCTCACCTGGGTTTGAGGGTGGAGTGATGTTTGGGGTAGAGGACAGTGTAAGGCTTAGGGATGGGATGACGGGTAGCAGTTAGAGTAAAGAGGTGTGTTGTGCATGTCACTGGCAAGGCACGGGCCCACCAGAGTGCCTCATGCATCTCGAGGCCAATCAAGTGGATATTCCTTTTGCCCACTCAGGCAACCTTCTGATCCTGTTTCAGATCGTTCCTCCTCCCCTCTTGCTCCCTTGATTTCAGCTCCTCCTGCTGCAGCTGACGTCTTCCCCCTGTCGCTCCTCCTCCCAGGAGACTAACCCCCAGCAGTGGGGAGCTGCAATGCACTTGAAGTAATAAGATGGACATTAAAACTATATAATAATTCCAGATTATTACCAGTATTATGTAGTATCAAAATTACTTAATTTTAATTACTGGTGCTGTCCCTTGGGTCACATTTCCTCCAGAGCTGTTTTCTTCTTCCATCTGTGTTCTTTTTATTCAAGTATGTATTCATTTGAAAAATATCTGGTCAAACAATTGCCCACTATACTAGAATTTGCTGAGTGACTAATATGTCCTCCACATTATGTGGTGGTTTAAACTGGCCCTTACAGTAGCCCTGCATAGTAAGTGTTGCTGTTCTGCCTGTAGAAACAAGGAACATTATACCTGGAGAAGTCGTCACTTGCCTGAGATACCTCCATGGACGCATTCCTTTGACAACCCCTGAAGACATCCATCTGTGTTCTAGGCCACCCTGAAGGCATCAGGACTGATCTGGACTCACCGGGGTAGCACAGTGTCTCCTTCAGTTGGGGTTCACGCACCACGGCTGGGCCTGATGAGAAAGAATTCCAAGCAGCAGCTGGAGTTGTTTAAGGATGGTCTCTATAAGGTGTGACACCTGGGACCCAGGCAGTGCTGTTTCAGTGTTCAGGGGACAGGGTGTTACCCAGGACCAGGCCAGGAACTGCGGAGAGCAGAGTGCCATCTTCCACCAGACAGATTTGCCATGGGGGACACCTGGGAAGGCATGTCAGTGGGAAATCCGTCACACAGTGGCTGGGGGCTCCAGGGCACAGGGCAGAAGGACATGCAGGACCACCCTGGACTCTCAGCAATTACTGGTGAGGAGGGCATCGAGGGGTCTAAAGTCCTTTACACAGGTGGGAGTGAGGAGGCTCTGAGAGTTGAATTATTTTGATTTATCCGTGGCTCCACTTATGTTTGTGGGAAATGAGGTGACATGAAAGTAAGACAGACTGTCCTCAAATAAATGAAATTTGTGGGGTCAGACATGCAAACATAATGTGACAAGTATGAGTACAATAAACAGGAACTCAGGAAAGACTTCACAGAGGAGATGATAATTGAGCAAGGCTCTGAAGGATGAACAAGTTTGCCTGATGAAAAAAAGATGGAGGAATATTCTAGAAAGTAGAGATCTCACACTGAGAGGCTTAGAGTTATGAAATGTCCTTTTGCTGGAGGATGGAGCACTAAGTTAGGGGGCACATTGCGAAGGAGCATGACAGGCAATATGGAATTTATTTTGTAGGCAACAGAGAACCAGCCATCTTTTAAGTACAGGTATCATGGAGTCACATTTATATTTATATGTTTTTTTAGAAAGGTAATTCAGAGGGAAATTTGGATAATGAATTGAAGGGGGGAGAGGCACCCCGGTGATGGGGTAAAGACTAGGGTCAGAAGAGTGATAGAACCGAGGGGATAACTTGTTCAAAGACCCAGGAGCCAGAGATGGTAGACTGTTTCAGGATCTGTGGTTTCAGGGACAGGAGGGTCTATGTGGTGGGAGCATATTGGGCATCGCAAGGAGAAGAGTGTGGCAGCAGCAGCTGAATGAAAAAAGTTTGCTCTCTTGCATGCGTGGTGCTGTGCATTGATGGGGCAAGTTCAACCTCAAGTTAGAGCAGAGGTGTTAGGGCTGGAAGGATGACCCTGTGCCTTTTTTACTTCTGAATCACCTGCCTAGCACTGGGGCCTGGAGCCTGGGGGTGGGGAGAAGGGACAACAGGGTTCCACAAATGTTTTCTTGAATTGAACTGGAGGATTGAAGGAAACAAGGCTAGGGCCAAGTGAGAGCTGGAACCTGCACTAAATGAGCAGACGGTCAAGTGCGGTGATAACTAGCGTTGGGAGGCAGCTCTGGGAGTCAGACTGCAGAGTGCCGCAGATGACCCAGGATCTTGAGTGCCCTGCTAAGGATCTCAGACACCATCTAGCACGCAGTGAAGAGGGTCTCTGGAGCTGAACTATGCAACCCACAGGGTGTTTGCTAAAATACTACACATTTAGAAAAGCTTAACTCTTTTTACTTTTACATTGCAAATAACTCTCCATAATGCTCCCAAATCTGAAAATAAACAAATTTGCCCGAATGCGTTCCATGGGGCCCAGAAGAACCGATTTCCACCGCAAACTGAAAGCATCTACCTTAGGCTGAATGCACCCTTTTTGGGGGTTGTTTGGAAAGAATGGTTGTAAAAAGAGAAACAGAACAAAAAGACAGCAATCTCATCCATCCAACTAGTGAGTTTCGAAGAAATTAAGTGCCTTAAAAGAAAGAAAAAAAGACCACAGACCTCGCACAGAAACATAAACCCATGAGAGTGGCATTTGAAACCACCCATTTTCTGGAACATCTTCTGTAGCCAAATCCCAACCACCGTAGTCCCCGGCACGCTCCCGCCCTCCTCGCCTACCCCCAACCCCACAACCCCCGCCGAACACGCTCACAGGATGACGTTGGTTGACGGTAGCGCGGCAGCCCAGGTGAGGGGCCACCCAGTCCCCCGGGGCGCGGGCGGCCGGAGCCCAGTGGCTGTCGCCGCTGCAGAGAGGGGAGGGGCTCGGCCGGGAGCAAAGGGGCGGAGGCGGGAGCAGTGCGGGTGGCGGGCGGGGTCGGTCGGAGCGAGAGCCGGAGGAGCCGGAGCAGGACGCAGGCGGGGGGCGGAGGGGCGGGAGCGGCGGAGGCGCGCCGACGCTGGGCCAGCACTGCTTCGCCCGGGGCGCGGGCGGACGCGCGCCGCAGTCGGAGCCTCAGACGCGCGGGCGCAGAGGACAGCGCGCAGCTGCCAGAGGCTACAGCTCGGTCCAGAGCCGGCGACATCTGCGCTGCAGGGTCCTGGGCAGCCGCGCCGGGGCTGAGTGGTGGGCGCGGCGTCACAACGTGAGTAGCTCCTAGCGCGTCTGCTGGTGGTACTCGGTCCTGCTCGGGGGGACGACTGGAGCGGAGGAGGCGCGGGGGCTGCTGTGTTGTCACCGGGACAGCAGCGTGGCAGCGCCCCGCCAGCCCTCTCTGCGGCAGCCGGACCTTGTCGCCAACTCCCCTCTTCCTTTCAGGTCCCCGACACCGCTGAGGGCGCCGAGCGGGAGGAGGGAGAACGGGCAGCCGAGGGAGGGAACAGCTGAAGCAGCCCCAGGCTGGCCCGGGCGGGCACCCTTCACCCCCTCCGGTCTGCGGCCAAGTTCTGCACCCGCGCCCCCGTCTCCCGCTTTCCGGAAAGCCCTGCCCGGAGGTCCCTCTGTGGGCAGTGGGGCCTGGAGAGGCTTCTGGGGCAGGAGCCGCGGCTCCCGGCGTGGACACCGAGGCGCGGGGTGTCACGCCGCGGGGCTGGCGGGGCCGGGAGCGCAGGTGCGGGCCGGCGCGAGGGCGTGAGCGCGTTGCGCTCCCCACGGACCCAGCTGGGCGTGGGCTTTGTTCGGCTGGGCTCACACCTGAGCGCCTCGCCCGAGTTCAGCTGAGACAGAACCGACCTCCACTCTGTGCGCCCTGGAGAGAACTCGGGAATCAAGGGGGGACGGAGTGCCCCCGAAGGTGGCAGGGTGGGGGCTTTTCCGGGGGCTTTGTGGGCCCTACAGGTGCGGGTGCTGAAGGTCTCGGCGCCCCGCCCAGCCTCCGGGGGCTGGGACTTGTTGGGCCGGCACGCCGGCGCTTGGGGCTGCCGCATAGGAGCCCCTTCCCAGCCCAGGCTCCCGGCGGTGGGATCCGGCAGCAGCGCAGCCCCGGGATGCCGTGTGAGCCGGGAGTGACTGCCAGCTCCGCAGCATCCATCTCGCGGCGAGCGCCATCTGCGCCGCGCGCCACCCCCGACCCCTCCGCGCCCCGCGGTGAGCGCCGCAGCCTGCTGGCCTCGCGTTCGCCGGCTCAGCCGGTCCCGACCCGCATCTGCCCGCACAGACGGGGAGCGGGGGTGCGGCGGTCGGGTGCGCTGGGAAATCGTCTCCCGGAGCGGTGGACTCTGGGCAGCAGGAGCCGCCGGAGAGTGCCTGGGGGCTGGCAGGCAGGCCGCTTCCCTTCCCTCCCTTCTCGCCGGGGTCCCCTCATCTGCCACCTCCGCAGGTTCGGGGGCCGCCCCGCGCATCGGCCGGCGCAGAAGAGGGCGCGAACAGCGGCGTCTCTTTCCCACCCCGCTTCTCTACGGCCTTTTTTTTTTTCCGCCAGCGGCTCCAGCCGTAGGCGGCATCAGGGCGGAGCTATTTGTACTAAGAGGGAAACGTTCGTTTCCTTCCCGGTCTCGCATGTTTAACGCGCAGAGGTGCGGATCTGAGGGCCAGGGCCCAGTCTTGCTCGAGACTCTTGCAAGAAGAGGTGGGAGCGAGTGTAATGGGGCAGGAGGCATTCGTTCTGCACCAGGAGCTCCCCCTGGGGCTCTCCTGGGAAGGAGCGAGGTAGCCCCCGAATACAAAACTACGGAGGCTGGGCTGCTTTATGCTGTAGTTCACGAGTAAATGAGTAGTACTCACATGGATTTAGACTATCGCATACTTCCTACTTTAATGGTAATGATAGTCAAGATTTTTTCAGAGCTTCGTATGTACAACACGCTGTGCATGTTAGTTACGTGTATCATCTCATTTAATTCCACAACAACTCCATTTTTAAAATTAGGAGACGGAGGCATAGAGAGGTCAAGTAACTTTCCCAGGGCCACATAGAAAATGGGAGAGCAAGTACTAGCTTATTGCCCCTCCACTTCACTATCCAAGACTGAAAATGGCCATTTTGGAGGTTTATCTTTAGTTTAGGTGAAGCCTAAAACTACGAATGTTCAAAATCAGGAATATATTACAAGACCACTGAATTCTGACCCCTGCAGACCTCACAGTAGCAGGCGACATTGTAAATCAGTGAATTGTATTGTGGAATAGCCTTTTATTGGCCTGCACTGCCCTTGAATGCCTTTACATGTTACGTTATTCCTGTTAGCTTTTAAGTCTGCGGCTGTTAACTTACAATTCGACCAGTTACAGTTACTGGACTGTTCTTAGTGACCAGACCCCGCTGTGATTACTGAGAAGCCAAGAGGTTCCTGGCACATGACAAGTTTTGAGAATTCTTTTATTTTTAAAGATAGGATGAATGTTTCCATTTAGTAAACGTTTCTGTTTCAAGCTCCCAGAACCTGAATTTCCCCTGTATACTCTTTTGACTGCCGAAGATTTACTCCTCATATTGGAGGTTGAATTTGAATAGGACCCTAGTATAAAATCTTAGGAAAGCATTCCATATCCTAAATATGTAATACTGTGTGGTGTATTTACAAACATGCTCCCTATTAACAAGTAGAAGGAAGAATTTGAACAGAAGTGAAACCAGCTATTCCTGGAATAGCTTTTAGAATGATTATAATTGACCAATTGGAAAAATGAATTCATTTTGCATTCTTAATCCTCCTACTGACTCACCGTCTTCTTTTCATCCTGCTTTCTTCTTTGTTCCAGGAAAGTCACTAAACATTTCACAGAACCCAGGAATTTTAGACCTGTAAGAGGATACTGTATCTAATAACACTTTGGGTTTCAAAATGGGTACAATGGGCTCAGAGAGCTCAGCACACCCTCTGATGCAGGGCAGTGAGGAGATCTTTGGCTCTAGACCAGTGTGCCCTTACACGATGTCATTTTTGTTATCGCATTAGTGACAGTAAATGAAAACAAGTCATCTTTAGAAATGGTACTTCCAGTGAGGCCAGTGTGACAACAAGAGTTGGGTGTAAGTGCTGGAGAAGTGTACTGAGAATGTATATACCTGGGCTGGAGAACTGATTCCTTAAGAATCATTTCAAATAATGTTTTCATGTAGGTGTAGTTTTCCTTGTGTAATCGGTTAATAAAAATAGAATCTGCAAATATGATATTGTGTATATACAAAAGAGCTATTTAATGGAACCCCACAGGAAGCTTTTCTGGTAGAGATACTTTCATTCATTCATAAAAGTCACTGAGTGCAGTGACCTATTGTTCTAGGGACTGGAATACAGTGGTGGGCAAAACAGTGCCTGCCCTCAGAGAGATTAATTCTAATTTTGTCATCTATGACTACATACTTCCATATGCACACATTCTTTTTTCACATATCATAAACATACTACATGTTGGTGAACTCAGATACACCGAACGCACTGATGTAACCAGTGTTCACATCGAGGAACAGAACACGATGAGCAGCTGAGAAAGCCCTCTGGTGGCTCCTCCCAGTCATTACTTACCCACAGTAGGCACTGAGACGCCCAGGCTTTTTTCCTGATATTCTCACCATGAAATCAGAAGGTCTTTGTCTTGGGCACTGCGGACTGCGTGAGGCAAAATAGCATTGCCTCAGTGGCTTACAGAACAGGTTAATTTTCTTAAAGTTCTGGAGTCTGGAAGTCTGAGGTCGGGGTCCCAGTGTGTTAGGGTTCTGGTGAGGTCTCTCTTCCTGGCTTGCAGGCACTGTGTGCTCCCCATGTGCTTTTATGTCCTTTCCTCTGGTCATGCATGTAGAGAGATCTCTCTCTCTCTTTCTCCCCATCTTCTTAAAAGGCCACTGATCCTATTGGCTTAGGGCCCTACCCTTATTATCTCATTTAACCTTCATTACCTCCTCAGAGCCTTATCTCCAAATACAGTCACAGTGGGGGTTAAGGTTTCAACACAAGAATTTCAGGGGGGACACATTTCAGCCCACAGTGGCCTTGACTGGCTGCCTCTGTCAGCATCTTTGGCATCTCATCCCATTTCCAAAGAACAGCTCCCACTGGAGAAGCATGGTGACTAAACCAAGGTTCCCTGGAATACAGAGCTCCGTAAGTATTGCTCTCCAGGAAGCTCTGTATGTTTGTACCCAAAGGCCACTTTAGGTCAGCCTTCAACCACTGTGATGATTGGTGAGCAGGAAGTGTTTGAAAATTACAAAACATGTGTATTGCTCTTTCCCTTTAGGATTCCTGAAGCCACCAGAAACCTTCTTCCCAGGGCATGGCAGAGAGGAGATGAGATGCTAGGCACAAGAATCCAGCAGCTTATTCTGTTTAACCCTCTGTCCACACAGGCAAATGAAAAGCCCCTTTAGTTTCAAAGAGTCTTCATTGACATTAGATATTAAAGTTTCTACAGGTAGCAAAATGTGCCAAAATGAACTGCTGAATATTTATTTTCCCTCTCAAAATGTGAGAGGACACCATGAGGAAAATACGTGAATGGTTCTGCCTCCAGTTTTAATAACTATAAATTTTTCAGTATCAGGTGGTTTTAAAATAGGGGAGAAAAATGCAGTATATGTGTAGAAAATGTGCTGTTTTTGGCAAGTTACTTTTTCATTGTGGTAAAGTATATATCACCTAAAATTTACCATTTTAACCACTTTTAGTTATATAGTTTAGTGACAATGACTACTCCACATTGTTGTGCAGTCGTCACCGCTGCCCATCTCCAGGACTTTTCTCTTCTCCTCAAACTGAAACTCTATACGGATTAAACAGTAACTCCCAATACCCCTCCCTCCCACCCCACCCCCACCAGCTCCTGGCAAGGATCACTCTACTTTCTGTCTGAATGAATTTAACCATCCCTGAGGACCTCGTATGGGTGGAATCATGCAGTATCTGCCCTTTTGTAACAGGCTGATCTCACTGAGCATAATGCCTTCAAGGCTCATCCATGTGCCAGAATGTCCTTCCTTTGAAAGCTGAGTAATATTACAGTGCATGTACCCACCACTATTTTAAATTCATACATCTGTCAATGGACAGTTGGGACTGCTTCCAGTTTTTGGGTAGTGTGAATAATGCTGCTATGAACATGGGTGTACAAACTCTTTTTAAGTCTTTGCTTTCAACTTTTTTGGGTATATACCCAGAAATGGGATTGCTAGATCATGTGCTAACTCTATTTTAATTTTTTAAATGATCCACCATGCTATTTCCCACAGCAGCTGTACCATTTTGCATTCCCACCAACAGTGCATGAGGGTTCTGGTTTCCCCACATCTTCACCATTTATTTTCTGTTTTTTTGATAATAGACATACTAATGGGTATAAAGACCTATAGCTCTTATTTTTTAAAGTTATACACCAATATACTATGTATTATGAGCAAGTCATTCACAATACTAACTTACAGCTTTAACTTTTATTAATAAGGAGATCTATGGTTTCTAACAAGCGTATGTTGACCCTGTACTTCGTTCAAAGCATAAAATAGATGTTGTGGAGCATATGTGTCATAGTCCAGGATAAGCAAGCATTGGTGACATATGTTCATGTTATATTTTTTAATGTTGAATTAAATTATGTAGTGCACATGTGCTAAATGATTTTGTCTGAGGCTAGATTAGATATTAGCATGCTTTTATTTTACTGAAAAAAAAAATGACACCACTATTTTAACCCAGATCAAGAGCAAATTTGCCTCCTATCTGGAAATAGGAATATCCTATGCTGAATGTTTTAGGGATGTGCTGGAGTTGTAAATTACAGGTCTGCACTGGGCATTTCTCCCCACCATTGAATCTTCAAAGATGACAGCATAAACCCTCACTACCCAATTATAATTGCTTAGCTGAGCTAATAAAAAAGATGTGGTGTCAACTTAATTGACCTACTTTACTGGCCTACAAGATTGGAATTTCAAATTAGAAAAAGGTAATTTTTAAAAGTCTGATGGAGGTCTTCCCTCAGTAACTAAAATACTAGGGAATGTAAGAAATCCCGGAGGTAAAGGGAACAAATTTACAAATACTAGTGCTCATCTACTGCACATTCTGTCCAAATGGCTTATGCACGTGAAAAACAGGAATGACAAATCTTGTCTTAATGTGTTCTTTGATTTCCTTCCATATTGCCCTGTACTAAACCATTGTTTATTCACATGAAATTGAAAATGGCAGTAACTATCTGGTGGGAATGATCCTATTTAAAATTCCTATTATTAACTGATGATAGGATGGTCTGGAGAGAATATTTTGCATGTGTATATATTTGTATGTATATTTCAAGGATATGATGTGCATGGTGTATTGGTCTGAAACCCACTGTAACCAGGAAAATATATTCCCAAGGCAATCTGAGAATCCTGTAGGAGGTCTTCTACTGTGTAATATGC